GACTAATATGTTGTTTTTTTTAAGACAAAACTAAATTTTTTAAAGCTTTCATCGACTAAAACCATTAAATAAAGAAATGACTAAAACTGACTAAAACTAAGAAGTATTTTTGTTCAAAAGACTAAAATTAAAATGGCCGCCAAAAACAGCAGTGCTCTGGAACAGGGCCGGAGCARCACCGACTGAATCAAACAGAAAAGAAGTTGGGTCCATCTTACCTGGAAGTTAAAAAACTCATCCTCAGCTGCATTCATGATGTTGCAGATCTGTTAAAAAAGAAATGGAAAAGCATGAATAAAAGTGTCGAACAGTGATGCTTAATGAGCACAAAGTTGTAAAACATTTAAATCAGAATCTAAAACTTTAAATTTTCAACTTGAACAGGAAGAGATGCTCCCCAGCCTTTAAAGGACAGAGGATAAAACACATGATGAATCCTTCACCTTCAGCACTTCTGGATGAAACGTTTAAATGTACTTTTACAAGTTTTATCGCTTTACTGCAAACATATTTTAATCCTGCATCAGAAACTCTGTGACTGTTTCATCACTTTCCTCTAGATTTATGAAACTGTGGCTCCGTGGAGTTCTGCACGTCTCACCGCACAGTTTAAAAAGAAAAAAAAAACAGAGGAAAGATGGCGTCGACGTGAAAAATGTCAAGCACCAAAGAAAAGGAGAGAACGTGAYGAGGATGGATGGAGGAGGAGGGATGGACGGACGAAGGCAGGTTTGGTTGGCTGGGATTAATGACAGAGATTATGGTTCTACATCAGAGCAGCTTTTCATTTCTGCAGCCTGTTCCCACTGACAACTGTGGAATAATGCTCCTCTGACTTCCACAACAGCAAATATCTGATCATTTTTTACTTTACTTTTACACAAAATTAAGTTTAGAAATAAAAATCTGTTTTAACTTTCATAAAACCTGAGAGCCAAACTTCACCAAACCGTAGAATTAAATCGACGTTCAAAAACCCAGATGTGTTAAATTTACCTGTTGCCATCAGGTAATAAATTCATGACACGGGTGAAAAGATTCACATGAACACTGAGAATAAAAGCTGGTGTACCAACCAGTCCAGTTTCTGCTACATAAGTGGGTAACCCACTGACCAGGGCCCAGTGGTCAGCTGGGGGGGTCCTGCAAGAAGACAAGAACAAATAAAAACATTTCTTATTGTTTCAGTTTAAGATCAAACTGGTTCTGTGAAGATTCTTCATTTAAAGATGTTTTTAAATTGTTGTAACGTGTATAAAGTGTAAGATTATTCACTTCATATTGAAGGTTTAAAAAGCAGTTTTACTGTTAAATTTGAAACTTTTACGTTTTTATTGTCTCAGCTGACTCCTGCATGACAACAACTGGGCGGGTCGAAGAAAATATAGAAAAAACTCTAAACTCCACAGATTTTAAATACAAACCTGTTCACAGATTAAAGTTTATGAAAGAGGATTGG